GGCCCCCCGAGACCTTAGGTTGCCTACCCCTGGTATAAACCCTATGTTGAGGGAATAATCACTATTGTAGGAATAATTGTTGAGGTGTTTGTTACAACCAGGCTTTTATTTTTGGTATCAACCATTTTTTATATGTGTTTTGGGAAACACTGGGATTCCTTGACGTGACCAATAATGGTGGCCCAGATATACAGAAAGATCAGCTAATGACCATTATTTGGCTTCCCATTCAATGGACAGCTATAAGAATACACTTTCATTTACATGAAATAAGGCATATCAAACCTAGCCAGTGCCTTGTCTAAACCGAGTGTGCTTCCAGCTCCTTTGCAATGTGGAATAAGTTTCATGACAAATGAGGCGCTATGAAAAGCACTCTTGAAAAATAGATACTTACAAAAACATGTCACTTGATTTGGGAAAACACAAATGAAATTAACTGGCTAAAATTCATTTACAGCTCCTGTATTCATGAAATGGCAGCAAGCACAATTTATTAAAACTATATTAGAAATCAGTGTAGTGCAGCAGGCACACAAGATCAAAGACACCAATGGCTTAGAGAACAAATTTAGGGCCTTTACAGACTGCCACAAATAATGCAGATTGAGGCCACTTTAACTGCCCTGGCTCAGGGCTAAGGAATCATGGGAACTGTAGTTTATTGTGGCACCAGAGCTCTCTGACAGAGAAGGCTCAATGTCCCAGAAAAAAAATACAATTCCCATGCTTCCCTAGCACTAAGCCAGGACAGTTAAAGTGACCTCAATCTGCATTATTCTGGCATTCTGTAAAGGCCCTATTATATGAGCTCCATTCTAAGATAGGAAAGTTACTGAGGGAGCTAATCTAGCTACATCTCTAGCATGGTCAGAGAGAAGAGAGAAGATGAGAAGGAGCAGAAGTTTCCCTGAGAGTATCAGTTTACATCACAGAGGGCTTAGAATAGGTAGACAGAGAGGGAAGTCACTCAAATTATCTACCCCTGTCACTACTGCCCACTCTGAGGCTTTAACTCAGTGGTAGGCAACCTTTCCCCTTTAAGGGCCGAAGGACTTCAGCTCCCAGAATCCCAGGAGCTATTGGCCAACATGGGACTATCGGCCTACATGGCTGAGGCTTCTGGGAGCTGAAGTCCCTCGGCCCTTAAAGGGGAAAGGTTGCCTACTCCTGCTTTAACTCTTTCAATGCAGAGTGTTGCTGCATTTCCAACAGTCTACAGGGGACATCCCTGGCTCTGTGCATTCTCTTTATTAGTAGGGGATATTATTTCATTAATGCTACTTTATGAAAGAGGAAGAATGTTACTCTAGAGTCTAAATCTATACACTAAGAAAACAACATGCTAACGTCTAGACCAGGGGTAGGCAACCTTTCCCCTTTAAGGGCCGAGGGACTTCAGCTCCCAGAATCCCAGGAGCTATTGGACAACATGGGACTATTGGCCAACATGGCTGAGGCTTCTGGGAGCTGAAGTCCCTCGGCCCTTAAAGGGGAAAGGTTGCCTACCCCTGGTCTAGACTGTCAAGAAGTTGGGTACTTACACTGAAGGCAGATGTTATGAAGGATTCTATCAAGAGAATTTTAGGCTACTCAAAGATGAAGATTAAGCTTTGCAACACTCAAAGATAATACCAAGTGGAAACATCTAATGTAAAGAAATATCTTTCAGTGTAGCATCATGGAAAGAAAGGTTTCAGTGCTGTCAGTGCAAGCTTTTGCGCGTCGCTTCTCAGTATACCTTTATTAATAAGGCCCCACTAGTTTCTGGCTTCTCAAACTGATAAGGAATTGTAGAAATCTGGAAGTAGTAGACAAGTTTTAATTAGCAGTTTCTATAAAGGACAACAATAAGAAGTGGGAGCTTATGCTGTGGTCTTCAATGGGTAACTAAGGGCCTAAGCAGACTGCCAGAAATAGTGCACATTAAATTGAGGCACTGCCCTGGCTCAGTGCTAGGGAATCATGGGAATTGTATTTTTTTTCTGAAACATTGAGCCTTCTCTGTCAGAGAGCTCTGGTGCCACAATAAATTACAGTTCCCATGATTCCCTAGCACTGAGCCAGGGCAGTGCCTCAATTTAATGTGCACTATTTCTGGCAGTCTGCTTAGGCCCTAAGTCTCGGGGATCTCAAGTGGGCATTCAAGAGACATACAAATAAAAACATACTTAAAAGACTAATATTACCTATGAGAAAGATTAAGTGCTTTTATATGCTGCAAGCTAGATTTAGTTAATTGGTTCTCCTATTGGTTTTCCACAATATGTAATCCCATATAGAGCTGCACTGAATTTTTACCCACAAAAAATTTCAGGTCAGAAAACTGTATTTCAGAGACTACAAAATACTCAAGCAAAAGTCCACTTTTTTCTTCTCTCTTGCTTCTAACTTGTGTGTTTCTCCTCTCCACTGCATTTCCAATGCCATATTATCTCTCATGGCAATTAGTCTGCAAGATGATGACATGACATTAAGTAGCTGATCAGATCTACTACACAGCATTGTCACTTCGAGCAAATAAATTGCCTACTCAGGGATATGAAATCCCTACTCAGGGATATGAAAAGGCTCCCTCCTTTTCATGCTATGGTATGTTTTATTTTTCTAATTTTCATGGCATAATGCAGCAAGACATAGATTCAAACTAGACACCAAGGGAAATTCACACTTTCAAGGGTTAACCCATTTCCCTCCATAAGTGGAATTTCCTTGCAGTCAAACTTGCAAATTCTGTGTTTGTGTTCAACCAATCACAGAAGAAGCATGATTAATGTGAGAGCTGTAAATCAGGAAAAGCGCATGCTGTGACAAACAGATGTCTTTCACCACTTGACGGAGTACTCCTATGCACCTGCTAAGCTAAGTCTTGTTTAACCCAGAGTATGGTACCAAATTCCCTCAGCAATGGGAGAAGCATTTGTCTTGCCGTATTGTGTCACATGTTTGGACAGACACAGGCTGAGGTCCTATGTCACCACGGCCTAGTATAAATAATGACAGACAGAGTTGTGTTCCACTTGCATTGCATAGTTCCTAGACTGGATACCATTATAGTGCAAATGTTCATGTCTGACTTGCTGACATCCCATTATGAAAATGCAACGCAAAGTCAATGTGCATTGGGATATGTTCTTCACTGGGCCACTGTGCTCTTTCAGTGGGACCTTAGACCCCCCATTCTGGAATGAACAAAAGTTCACTGCATATCATGTATATAATGCCCAGTGTGCATTGGTACAAGCAGACTTCAATTTCTGTTCCTTTCAGCTGGATCTAGCCATTGTTCAATGTCCAATAAAAAAATAGTCCTCATGCATGACACAACATATACCACATGTATGTGTCACTAACAGAGTGCTGCTGAAGAAGTGCCACCTTTTGCTTTAGAAATATAGAGATGTGGTTCTTCTCCTAACTCACATAACTGACTAGAATTACTTATGCTTATATACATTGAACAAATCATCAAAGGGAGGCGTATTTTGTAAAGCACAAGAGTGCCGCAGAAAAACAATCCCTTTTCCAGCTCAGCTCTAATGCTTTCCTAGTTTATTTCTTAAGGCTTTTCTTAGTTTCTGTGTGCCTTCAAGTCATTTCCAGCTTATGGCAACCCCAAGGCAAGCCTATCATGGGGTCTTCTGGGGCTAAGAATGTATGAGTCGTCGAGGATTACCCAGCGGATTTCCATGGCTAAGCAGAGAATTGAGCCCTGATCTGTTTCTTAGTACTGTACTGTAGTATAATTTGACGATTGCTTATCTTGGCGTAGAAGGGAGAATCTCTTCATGCTCTTTCTGGATAGGACCTAACTAGAGTTTATGCA